CAACCCGATCCTCCAATATTGACTTTTAATAAGTCTGTTGCGGCGTGCAACCCGATCTTTCAATATATTCATTATAATTAATCATGTTGCGGCGTGCAATCCTCTCCTCCAACTTTTTCATTTATCAATTCTTATAGAAGAAATTTTTCCAATAAATGTAACAATTAATATAAAATTACGAGACAACAAACATACAATAATTATGGTTTAATTATGAAGCAAACAAATGACAAATAGCAAATTATTATGGAAATCAGGGAGCAAATAGGCAGTTTAATATTTATTATGCTAAATGTCAAATAACAATTAATGCACATAATTCAAATAGCATGTAACAATTAATGCAGGAATTCAAGAATTTATATTTGCAAAGAATAAGAGAGAAATAATTATTATAATAATTAATTTATGATTAAAAATAATTTATGATTTTTCAAGTAAGCAGGCAAATAATTAATTTGACGACGTATAGACACTCGTCACCTCGCCTATACGTCATTTACATGCAATTTACATAACAAACAATTTAAGGGTTCTATTTTCTCAAGTCAAAATTAACCCCGACACTTATCTCGCTTTGCAAATTTCAATCAATTATTCAACCACAACTTTTCCTTTTAAATTTGCCTCCGAAAGCTTCAAATCTATTCACAAACACTTCAGTATATTTAATACTAATCATAGGAATTAATTCCATATGCATTTACCAATTTTCTGGATAAAAATTTGAAATTCATTAAAATATTCGATAGTGGGACCCACGTCTCAAATCTCGGAAAAACTCACGAATTCCGAATACCCGTTCCGATACGAGTTCAAACATACAAAATTTGTCCAATTCCGATATCCAATGGACATTCAAATCTTAATTTTTCGTTTTTTAAAAGGTTTACAAAAATTCCAATTTCTTCCATCTAAATCTGAGAAAAATGTGTAATATAGACATGAATTTGTGAAATTTAATCACTTTTGGTTAAAGTAAACTTACCCAATTCAAAGTCGTGAAAATTTCCCTTGAAATCGCCCAAATCCGAGACTTAAAACTCAAAAATGAGTAAAAATGGCTAAGACCCGATTTTATGTATTCTGCCTAGCATTTTCGCATTTGCGGGCTATATTTTCACACCAGCGGTCTCGCATTTGCGAAGTGGGGCTACCAGGCAAGGTTTCGCATCTGCGGACAAAAATGTTGCACATGCGATGTCCGCTTCTGCGCAAAAGGGCCGCACCTGCAAAGACCGCATCTGCGATGGAAGTCTCGCTTCTGCGAGCTCGCACCTGCGGTCAAAATTTCGCAGGTGCGATTACACCAGAATTCAAAATTTCAGATTTTTCTTAAGTCCAATTCTTGTTCCGATTTCGATCCATTTCACTCTCGGGGTACTCGGGACCCCGTACGAATATACCAACAAGTCCAATAATATAATACGGACTTACTCGGGGTCTCGCATCATGTCAATCAACGCTGAAATTACAATTCACATCTCGATTCAAACTTTGAGTTTTAAACTTTTTAATTTACAAATCTCGTGCCAAAACATATTAAATGAATCCGGAATGACTTCAAATTTGGCACACAAGTCATAAGTGACATAACGGAGCTATTCAAATTTCCAGAATCGGATTCCGGCTCCGATATCAAAAAGTCAGCTCCGCAGTCAAACTTGAAATATTTAGCCTTTAAATTACTAGTTTCGTTAAATGATCATAACTTGAGCTAGGGACCTCCAAATTAAAGTCCCAAATTATGATACGGAGCTACCGGAACTGTCAAAACATTGATCCGGGTCCGTTTGCTAAAAATGTTGACCAAAGTCAACTCACTTGAATTTTAAAGCTCTATTTCACATTTTAATTCATTTTTCACATGAAAACTTTTCGGAAAAAATGTACGGACTGCGCACGCAAGTCGAGGAATGATAAATGGTGCTTTTCGATGTCTTAGAACACAGA